GCAACTCAGTGCGCGCGTTCCACGATTCGCAAAGCGCCTATTCGTAAACGTCCAAAACATACTCCGACGGCGGGACCCTGCATGAGAATATGTTTAGCTTGCCCCTCGCTTGTTCCTCTTCGCCCTGGCGGAGGCCCTCCTCCCGCCTTCCGTTGCGTCTGCTCCTTCTCCTCTCCTCCTCCCCCTCCCCCTCCCCTCCTCCTCCCTCCTCCTCCTCCTCCTCCTCCTCCTCCTCCTCCTCCCCCCTCCTCTTCCTCCTCCTCCTCCTCCTCCTCCTCCTCCTCCTCCTCCTCCTCCTCCTCCTCCTCTTCTTCCGCCCCCCATCGCCATCATCATCGTCATCACCATCATCATCATGTTCGCCCTTCGTCTCCTCCTCCTCCTTCTCGTCCTTCCTCCCCCTCCCTCCTCCTCCTCCTCCTCCTGCTCTTCCTCCTCCTCCTCCTCCTTTTCCCTTTCCTCCTCCTCTTCCCCTCCTCCTCCTACTCCTCCTCTCCTCCTCCTACGCCTCCTCGCCATCCTCCCCACTGTCCTGCCTGTTCCCCCCATGCACTTCCCCTGCGTCCTGGTTGGGGCAGATAATTGTTCTTCGGTGCCGCTGCCGCCGCGGCCGGCATGGGCGCGTTTTCTGATGGCCGGATTTTGAAGCCGCCGTTGGGGCAGCCCCGCGGGCGAGGCCGTTGGGACAACCCCGCGAGATGGTAGGGCGCGGGGGCGAGCCGTTGGGACAACCCTGCTGGTCTCGAGCTAAACACGACCGCGCCCAGGCGGGGGGCAACACGAAACCCAGCTTTTCCGCGAGTTGCTCCGCCTCAGCCATGGAGATCACCGTTTCCTTGTTGAACTCGAGCGCTTTCCGCAGGGACGGCGGCGGCCTGCGTTCCAGGAGCTCCCGCGCGGGCGGCCGCAGGGCCAGTATGTTCCGCACCCGCGTGGCGCGGGAGAGCGTGACGTAAAGGTGCAACCGCCATTGTTTGTCCGACATCCGCGTGCGGCCAGCGTCCTAATCCCTGGCGCAATCGATGGTGACGCCTTGCGCAGCGTTTGGCCCTGCGACAGCGTGGAAATCAGGTAGGGCGCGCGCGCCAGGGTGAACCCCGAGCGGCGCACGACGCGCGTCCCCGAGCTTTGCCAGGTGAGCTCCTCCTCGTTGGGCCTGAACAAGAGCGAGCTCCTCGCCCGCGCCTCGGCCTCGCCGTCGTCGTCAGCGTTTCGGCAACGTGTCACAGCAGCTCGGCGACCAAACCCGGGACCTGCATCCAAATTCCCTGCGGTAGGTAGCGGGGGGGAAAGAGTTGGCCCGGCGCGCACTCCTCGCAGCCCCGCTCGTCGTCAGAGCGAAGCACAAAGAACACCATGGTGTCCCGGTGCTCCCGCACGAACCCCAACTTCTTCTTCAGCTCCCCCATGCACGGCCGTGAAACGAACTTCCAGGCCGACGTATGCTGGTAAGACGCCGTGGATGTCCCCCGTCTTGCGCATGCTCGGGACGTTCAGCAGGCGCCAGCCCGCGTCTGGATCGCCTCGGGTCGCGCCGCGCTTGTGTACAGCCTGCAGGAAAACGAGGGGCACGCCGAGACGCCTCGCGTCGCGACGAACGCGCGTGTCGATCCACCTCGCCAGCGTCTCCCATGCCGTAGCCGAGCCGACAGTTTTCGTGCTGGCGCCGACGGTCCAGGACGCCGTGGTTGTCCGAGGCCAACGTCTTCTCCCAGGCGGACCACACCCCTGCTGGGACGGGCCTGCCTCGCGCATGCAGCTCAAGAGCGCGATCAAAGGGTCCCCGGGCCCGAAGCGTCTCGTGCCGTGCAGCCCGAAGATGCAGGGGATTGCAAAGAACACCCCGATGGCGTGCTGAGTTTCCATCGTCGGCGGCCCCATACTCTTAATATTCACGCATGAAGACCCCCAAAAATGATGACAGTCACAGGTTTGCGGATGACTCGTTCGGATTGCCAACATGAAATGCGGGCCCCATCGGGAAGGGGCTCCCGCTTGAGATTCCCCGCAACTCAATCACATACGTACATCGTTTCCGTTCGATACGTCCCCCATGTTCAGGCACAAGGGTTTGAAACCGTGGCGACAGTTATTGGTTTGTGGAGGACACGCCCGGATTACCAACAGGAAGCGCGGGCCCACTGAGGAGGGGACTCTTGTCTGAGATTTCTTCGCAATTCACTCGCAGACATCGATTCCTCATGATATTTCCTGCATGTTCAGGCATGAGGACCCCCAACAGTGACAACAGCTACAGGTTTGCGGACGACCCGTTCGGATTGCCAACAGGAAGCGCGGGCACCGCAAAGCGGGGGTTCCCGCCTGAGGCTTCCTCGCAACTTACTCACAAACAACGCCGTCGCACGAAACGTCCCCCATGTTCACGTATGAAGACCCCCAAAAGTGACGACAGCTACAGTTTTGCGGACGACCCGATCGGATTACCAGTAAGGAGTGCGGGCCCCATCGGGGGGGGCCTCCCACATGAGAGTTCCTCGCAACCCACTCACCGACGACGTTTCCGCTCGAGGCATCCCCCATGCTCAGGCATGAGGATCCCCAAACGTGACGACAGTGAGAAGTTTGCGGGTGACCCGCTCAGATTACCAACGTGGAGCGCGGGCCCCATAAGGAGGGGGTCCGGCCTGACAATTTTTCGCAGCCCACTCACAGACGAGGTCCCCGCTCAACACTTCCCCCGTGCTCAGGCATGAGGACCCCCAACAGTGACGACAGTGAGAATTTTTCGGATGACCCGCTCGGATTACCAACGTGAAACGCGGGCCCCATCGGGAGGGGTTCCCGCCTGAGGCGTCCTCGCAATTCACTCTTATACGAGGCCCCTGCGCCATATTGACCCCATGTTCTGGCATGAGGACCCCCAACAGTGACGACAGCTAGAGGTTTGCGGATGACCCGCTCGGATTACCAACATGAAGCGTGGGCCCCATAGGGAGTGGGCTCCCGCCTGAGAGTTCCTCACACTTCACTCACATACGAGGCTCCTGCTCGAGACGTCTTCCATGCTCAGGCCAGGGGAGCCCAAAAGTAATAATATACTAATGATAACAATACTCATAATAATAGTAATGATACTACTACTACTACTACTACTACTACTACTACTACTACTACTACTACTACTACTACTACTACTACTACTACCATTACTACTACTACTACTACTACTACTACTACTACTACTACTACTACTACTACTACTACTACTGCTACTACTAGTACTACTAGTACTACTACTACTACTACTACTACTACTACTACTACTACTACTAATACTACTACTACTAATAACAATAATAATGATAGTAATTCTAATAATGATAATGCCGACGATGATGATGATGATGATGATGATGATGATGATGATGATGATGATGATGATGATGGTGATGGTGATGGTGATGATGATGATGGTGATGGTGATGGTGCTGTTGATGATGATGATGATGATGCTGATGATGAGTGGTAAGTGGTGGGTGGTGGGTGGTGAGTGATGGTGGTGTTGATGATCACGGTGCTGTTGAAGATGGTGATGATCATGGCGTGGTCGCGAGTGAATTGTTGAATGAGGAGTGGCGAGCGAATGGGTGAGTGAGTGGGGGAGTGATGATGGCGATGATGTGTTGATGATGACAGCTGCGGTGGTGATGACGGCGTTTTTGATGATGACGACAATGATGATGATGATGATGATGATGATGATGATGATGATGATGATGGTGATGATTATGATGATGATGATGATGATGATGATGATGATGATGATGATGATGATGATGATGATGATGTTTCTGATGCTTCTGATGCTTCTGATGCTGATGATGATGGTGATGATGGTGATGGTGATGGTGATGGCGATGGCGATGGCGATGGCGATGGTGAGGTTTAAGTGAGAGAGTGAGTGAATGAATGAGTGAGTGAGTGGGTGAGTGAGTGAGTGAGTGATGTAGAGAGAGGGGTGTGACAGGACTGCGCGGGGTGTCCAGAGAAAACAAGAGCCCCGCTTAGGATGTGGGGAGCAAGTGGGGCTTTCCAAAAAGGGCCTTCACGTCGAGGATCGAGGGAGTTGCCATCTATTCCGCGGCGGAAGGGCGGCGGAAGCTCAGCGGACGTAAAACGAGGCCGCCTCCGCCGGTGGAAGCTCGGCGGAAGGCGGCGGAATTACAAGATGCGCCCCCCACAAGACAAGATGAAAACGCTTTTGGGTTCATGGTTTCTGAAATCGCCCAAGTGTTGTTCGATGCAATGGAGCCTGCTTGCCTCGACGCAGTGGGTCCAGGCCATTTGCGAGCAGCTACTCTGTGAGTAGCGGAGCGCGCTTGTCTAGTAAGAGTGGCCCTTCGCCCGAAGTGATCTTTGGTGCGGGCCCAATGTCGGAGGCGACGATAGGGGCCAACAGCCCAGGGAGGGCATTACACGTATTCGGCTGGGGGCCTCGCCGAAGGCATGGACCATCGGCGCCTTTGGATACATGCATTGCTCTCCGCTGGGCGATTCGCCCCCATCGTCGCTCCCGACAGTGGGGTTTCTCGATCGCCGAATGCGATCCGAAAGCAGCGGCACGCGAGCCTGGTCTTGGCCCCCCGCGCCCCGCCCAAACCGCGCACCGGAAGTCACTCTTGCCCACGGGTCTTTCTTGCGTGTAGTCGATGCAGGAAGCCCGCGCGGACCTGCGAGAGCTTACGTCTGTGCGGATACTTGTGTTCTCCTTTCGGCGGCGGGCCCACACGGGAAGACAGAGGGGGCGGGCCTTCTCAGAAGGCTCAGAAGGCCTCTGGCCTTCTGAGCAGCTTTTCCGAGCCTTCTCCGAAGACGCAGGCGGCGTCTTAGAAGGCCAGAGGGCTTCTGAGCAGCCCCGCAGCTTCCTGAGAAGGATTGCCCCCTCCAACTTCCCCCATGGGCTCGCCGCCGATTCCAAGGACGCCACGCAGCCGGCGGGGCTCACCCTGCGGTGCACCATCCAGGCCGAGTTCGGCAAGCCGTGCACCACCCATATCACGCAGGTGGAGCTCGGCGGCCTCTGGCTCGACAACAATTCGCTGGAGGTCCGCTCGTACCTCCGCTCGCAGTCGGGCGACACTGGGGACAAGTTCCTGGGAGCTCGGATCGTCTCTGCCCAAGGTCGGAGAATAAACAACTGCATGCACATGCAGTCGCGCATCTGACTAAGGACCCTCCTTCCGAATAGCTGGGCCAGCGTTTATTTACCAACTTGGCTGAAAGCTGGCCCAGTTTCTTGAGCGCGGTCGCCCCTGAAACGTAACCAAAAGGAGTTGGCCCAGGTTTGTTTGAAACATTGTTAGCAAGCGTGGGCCAACAACAGTGTCTTCTAGCACTATAGTTTGCACGCTCTAATGTGTACAGTCAGTTTCTGTTGCGCAATATATGTTGTGCAACCTATGCGGGTCCACATACGTTGTGTAATCCATATATATATATATATACCTATACGATCACCCTGCGGGTGATAAGGAGGTGAGGGAGGAGGGGGAACCAACGTCTCACTCAATCGATCTCGCTATCGATCTCACATTCGGTCTCACATTCGGTCTCACATTCGGTCTCACTATCGGTCTCACATTCGGTCTCACTACCGATATCACAATCGATCTCGCAACCGACGTCATCATCATCATCATCAACATCAACATCATCAACATCATCATCATCATCATCATCATCATCATCATCATCATCATCATCATCATCATCATCATCATCATCATTATCCATCATCATCATCATCATCATCATCATCATCATCATCATCATCATCATCATCAACATCATGATCGGGACACCGACGGGACACCGACGGGACACCGGCGGGACACCGGCGGGACACCGCGCGCCACCGGCCGCCCGGTGGAGAATCATTTGGTCCGGCCGCGCCTCAGCCACAGAGGACACCACCGGGACACCGGCGGGACACCGCGCGCCACCGGCCGCCCGGTGGAGAATCATTTGGTCCGGCCGCGCCTCAGCCACAGGAGACTTTCCTCTCGCCCGCCCACGCAGCTTCGCCTCGCCCGCACGCACGGCACGCACGAACACGAAACCGAAATCGATTTCCCGGTAGGGGGGCTCTCCGTTCCACTTCGATCTCACCCCCTCACCTCCGATACCATATGTATATATATATATATATATATATACCTATACGACCACCCTTCGGGTGATAAGGAGGTTCGGGGGGGGGGGAGGAACCAACGTCTCACTCGATCGGTCTCACTATCGATCTCACTATCGATCTCAGTATCGGTCTCGCTCGATCGATCTCCCTCGATCGATCTCACAATCGATCTCACTCGATCTATCTCACAATTGATCTGACTATCGATTTCACAATCGATCTAACAATCGATCTCACAATCGATATCACATTCGGTCTCACTATCGATCCCACTATCGATATCACAACCGCTATCACAATCAACGTCATCATCATCATCATCAACAACATCAACATCAACATCATCATCACCAACCTCATCATATTCGGGACACCGTCCTCATCGTCAACACCAACATCATCATCATCACGGTTATCAACATCATCGGGACACCACCATCATCATCATTATCACCATCATCACAATCATCATCATCAACATCATCATCAGCAGCATCGGTACACAGTCATCGTCATCATCATCATCAGCAGCATCATCATCGGGACACCATCATGATCACCATCGTTACCATCATCATCATCATCATCGGGACACCATCATCATCATCCTCATCATCGACATCATCATCAGCATCATCAACATCATCATCAGCATCATCATCGTCGTCATCATCGGGGCACCATCATTATCAGTACCAACATCAGCATCAACATCAACATCATCATCACTATCGGGACGCAATCATCATCCACATCATCATCACCATCAGAATAATAATCATCATCTGGATGCCATAATCATCATCAACCTCATCATCATCAACACCATCATCAGAGGGACACAATCATAATCATCATCAACATCAACATCATCATACTCATCATCATCAGGACACCATCATAGTCATCACCATGATCATCAACATAATCATCATGATCATCATCATCCTCATCATCGGGACACCATCAGCATCATCATCATCATCATCATCATTATCATCGTCATCATCATCATCATCATCATCGACATCATCATCATCATCGTCATCATCGGGACACCACCATCATCATATCATCATCATAATCATCATCGTCCTCATCATCATCATCAGTTTCACCATCATCATCATCATCGTCATCATCATCATTAGCATCGTCATTATCATCATCATCACCATCATCATCATCATCATCATCATCATCATCATTATCATCACCATCATATCATCATCATATCATCATCATCATCATCATCAGCATCATCATCATCATCATCATCATCATCATCATCATCATCATCGCGGGACACCGCGGGACACCGGTGGGACACCGCGGGGCACCGCGGGACACCGCGGGACACCGTGGGACACCGGCGGGACACCGGCGGGACACCGCGCGCCACCGGCCGCCGGGTGGAGAATGATTTGGTCCGGCCGCGCCTCAGCCACAGGAGACTTTCCTCTCGCCCGCCCACGCAGCTTCGCCTCGCCCGCACGGCACGCACGAACATGAAACCGAAATCGATTTCCCGGTAGGGGGGCTCTCCGTTCCACTTCGATCTCACTCCCTCACCTCCGATATAAGAATCAGAGTGAGGGGGCCGAACGGTCTTTCATTATCCCTGGGTGCGTGGCTGAAGTGAGACTCCGTGGTTCGGATTATTATTGTTTCGGTGTTGTTGTTGTTGCTCTTGTTGTTGGTGTTGAACTCTCACTTCTGAAGAATAATTATGGATGGCCCCCCCGCCGGTGCATACTGTTTTTTCTCCATCAGAGTGTGCCCCTCGACGCTCGCACCCTGTTTTTTTTTTTATCAGGGAAAGCCTTGAGGTTCAAACTGGGCCCTTGGCCCCCCGGATTACAACAACAACTGCTCCCGCCTGAAACTTCCTCACAACTTAGCCAGGACCCCCGCTCCTGAGACTTCTTCACAATTTACTCAGGATAGGTGCTCCCGCCTGTGACCTCCTCGCAATTTAGTCAGAACACCCGCTCCCATCTGAGACCTCCTCACAATTTACTCAGGAACGGCGCTCCCGCTTGGGACTTCCTCGCAATTGAATCAAGACTTCCTCGCAAGTTAATCAAGACCTCCGCTCCCGCCAGGGAGCCCTTCAAATTTCATTCAGGAGTAGCGCTCTCGCTTGTGACTTCCGTACGATCTATTCAGAAATCGCGGTTTCGACGCTCAGGAAACACGCTGCGCCAAGGACGCCGCTACAATTTACTTAGTAATCGCGCTCTCGCCATACTCAGGCATCCCGCTTGAATGCCCCACCCGCCCGACCCGCCCGTCAGGGGATCGCCCGCCCGCCGTGGGCTCCCGCCCGAGACTTCCTTCAGGAACGGCGGTTTCGCCTAGGACTCCCTCGAACGTTCACGCTCTTACCTTCCTGCTCCTCCTCCCTCTCCCTCCTCCCTCCTCCCTCCTCTCCTTCCTTCTCTCTCCCTCCTCTCTTCTCTCATCCTTATGCCTCTCTGCCCTATCCCCTCTCCCTCCTCTCCCTCCTCCCTTCTCCCTCCCCTCTCCTGCCTCCTCTCTCTTTTTGTTTATTTCTCTCTCTCTCTCTCTATCGCCCCTCTCTCTCTCCCTCTTTTTCTCTGCCTCTCTTATAGGTATTTCTCTCTCTCTCTCTCTCTTTTTGTTTCTCTCTCTCTCTCTCCCTCTCTCTTTATTTGTTATCCCTCTCTCTCTCTCTCTCTTTCTCTGCCTCTAATCAACAGCCAGAAAGAGGTACGAAAGAGTAGAGAGGAGAAATGTTGGGAAAGCAGGAATATTAGAGAAGGAACGGAAACAGCTTGGAACAACACAAGAAAAACAAACGATGCGAAGCGGAACTGGAGAGCGAAAGCAAACATATTTGAAGTGTTGCGGAACGTGGGACAACAGAAAAGTGGATGGCAAGAAACGGGCGAAGGCGGGGGGGATTCGGAAAAAAAACGATGCAGCATCGAAAGGGAGAGAAAGAGCGGGAGAGAGAGAGAGAGATAGAGAGAGAAAGAGAGAGAGAGACACACAACAATAGAACGAGAGAACGAGAGAAAGAGAAGGAGGGAGAGAGAGAAAACAAGACATAATGGGAGAGAGGGCAAGGAGAGGGGAAGTTGCGCTGCGCGTGTGACGAGAGGAGAAGGGATGGAACAGCGTGGAAGGGAGGTGTAGGAAGAGGACGATGCTCCAGGGAGACTGGGCGGAACGTGGGACGGAGTGAGGGTAGGGCGGGGGGAGCACATGGCGGGAGTGGCAAAAGGAGGCGAGGAAGAGGGAAACGGTGCGCTCTGCAACGACGGTCTGCTCATGGGCGGCCCGTGCTTGCACGTGGAAGCCTTGAACTGTGTCCCCCCCCATCCCCGCCTCCACCTTCTCTCTGTCGTTTCTCCCCGTCCGTGTCTTGTCCGTTATCGCTTCTGTCCTCCTTTCCCGCGGTGCTCTGACGTCTCCGTCCATGCTCTCCTGTCTCCTCCTCCTGTCTCCCGCGCCCTCCTCGACCGCGCGATTTAGAGCTCCCGTTGGACGCGTCGGCGCGCTCGTAGCGAACGCCACATGAGAAGGAGTCGAGGTGGAAGAGGAGGAGGAGGAGGAGGAGGCGGAGGAGGAGGAGGAGGAAGGGGAGGAGGAGGAGGAGGAGGACGAGGAGGGGGACGAGGAGGAGGAGGAGGAAGAGAAGGAGGAGACGGAGGAGCAAACTTCGGCCAGCTTGGAGCGCAGTTGGCTGGGAGCTGCGGGGTGAGGCCGTCGGACCTGGCGCCTACTAGTGGTCTTCTCGGCCTATCCTGCCACCGTGCCTGGGTTGTGCGTCTGAGACCACTCGCCCGTCTCTCCTGCCCTCCTCGGCCGCGCGATGTTGAAGCCCCGGGGGGGGGCGGAGGGGGGGGGGGGGCCGTCGCCGCGCACGCGTCGAGCGCCAAAGGAGGAAACATAGGGGAGAGAGGTGGATGAGGGGGAGTAGTAGGAGGAGGAGGAGGAGGAGGAGGAGGAGGAGGAGGAGCATGAGGAGGAAGAGGAGGAGGAGGAGCAGGAGGAGGAAGAGGAGGAGGAGGAGGAGGAAACGGAGGAGGAAGCTTCGGCCCGCCTGGAGCGCTCTTGGCGCGAGGCCGTGGAACGAGGACGTGGGAGTTAACGCCTTTGTTCGGCCCATCCCGCCACCGCGCCTGGGCGGCGTGTCTGAGGCCACTCGGAGAGGAGGAGGAGGAGGAGGAAGAGGAGGAGGAGGAGGATGAAGAACGGGAGGAGGAGGAGGAGGACGAGGAGGAGGACGAGGAGGAGGAGGAGGAGGAGGAGGGGGAGGAGGAGGAGGAGGAGGAGGAGGAGGAGGAGGAGGAGATAGAAGAAGAGGCGTCGGTAAACTTGGAGCGCGTTTGGCGCGAGGCCATGTGGCGTGGCACCTGCGAGTGGCCGTCGGCCTATCCAACCACCTTGCTTGGATGGCGTGCATGAACCCATTCGGATGGCTGATAGAGTCTCGTGTGAGGCTTCTCGAAGCCTTTTGGGGCAGTCCTGAGGCCGTCTTGGCCAGTTGTGGGGGCTCCTGGAGCCGTCTTGAGGCTCTTTGGGGCTGTCTTGGAGCTTTCTCGGAGGCCTCTTCGGCTGTCTTGGGGCGATATTGGGAGCCTCTGGGCTCTGGGGCCATGTTTGCCTGTTGGGGCTCTCTTCGTCTCTTCGGAGGCGTCTCTTGGAGCCTCTTGGGGCCTCTTGGAAGTTTCCGGGAGCCTCCTCGGGGCATCTGGGGGCCGAAGGTTCGAAATATCCGTTCTGCTCCCTCCTATGGGCCCCTCGTGGGACAGTCCTGAAGCAGGTCGGCCTCTCTTTGGCTGTCTTGGGGCGATATTGGTCGCCTCTGGGGCCGTCTTGGACGTTGCGAAAGCTGAGGAGGCGAATCTGGTAAACGCATACGTTTTGCGAAGGGAGTGGAGCGATTTGTGCCTCCTGGGGCTCTCTTCGGAGGCGTCACTTGGAGCCTCTTGGGGACTATTGGAAGTTTCCGGGAGCTTCCTCGGGGCGTCTGGGGCCCGAAGGTTCGAAATGTTTGGTATGGTTCCTCTGGGATGCCTCTTGGCGCAGTCCAGAAGCCGTGTTGGCCAGTCTTGGGGCTCCTGGAACCGTCTTGAGGCTCCGGGGGGCTGTCTTGGAGCCGTCTTGGGAGCCTCTTCGGCTGCCTCTTGGCGATATTGGGCGCCTCTGGGGCCGTCTTGGACGCTACGAAAGTTTTGGAGGCGAAACTGGTAAACATATACGTTGCACGAAGAGAATGGAACGATTTCTGCCTGTTGGGGCTCTTGTTCGGAGGCGCTTGGAGGTTTCTAGGACATTTTGGAGACCTGTGGGGCCGTCTGGAGGCCATCTTAGACATCTGGGAGCGATCTGTGTGCGGCTCCGAGCCCTCTGGAACCTCTTTGGGACGCTCCTGGAGCGATCGGGAGCTGCCAGCACCGCGCGCGGGAGTTCCGCCATCTCTGATCCGGAATATGCTGGTTGTCCGTCGCGGTATTTTTCGTCCGGGGATCCCCAAGGGCCGCCGCCCCGCACGCGCGAGGTAGAAGTATTCTAAAGCTGTCACCGGAGATCTTAATACGCTTCTGGCCCGTTGGGCCGGCGAATTCAAAACGAGAGCCCAGCCAGGGGACGGCTGGGGAAGAGACGGGCATCTCGCGCCGCATGTCAAAGCATTCGAACGCCGTTGCGCGCGTGCTAGGGGGGCCCGATCCGTGTCAAATAACAATAACACCATGCGGGCCACTCTCGCGCGTCGGCCGCGCGAGCATGTCGAACTCTTTCCGAAGCTTTCATCACCGACGCGAGTACGCTGTCATCGTCGTCGGCGTGATCAGCATCGGCGCCGTCATTGGCCTTGCCATCGTCGTTGTCATCATCGTCACCACCATCGTTATTATCATCCTCGTGTCTACCGTCGTCGACGTTGCCATGATTCTTCGCCCGCCCAAGTCGACGACTCGCACTGAAGTGCCTGGGAAGTGCCCACCGGCCAGCGCCACCGCGGCCGCGTCGGTCGCGCCAATCTAGCTGGCCGCTGCACGCGCAAGCATGCGCGGGCTAGCACGGCCGCAGAGATGCACCAGCCAACGCCAAGCATTCATTGCAATCGCTGCCGCATGGGCTTATGCAAACCAAAGCGTGGGCGGGTGGGTGGGATGATTGCGCGAGCAGTGGTCAATCTGCTGCGAACAGAAATTAAGTGCACAACATAGATTGTTCCACGTCGGCTACACCACGTAGAGTGCACCACATAGACTGTACCCATATATTGCACAACGTGTATTGTACAACATTGAGTGGGCCACGTAGATGGCAAATCATAAGTTGCACCAGTAGGTCGCTAGAAAGATATCATTTGGGGTCCACGCTGGCTACCACGTGCTGGATCATAGTTCCGGCTGTAGTTATTTCGGAGGCACACGCAGGTTTCTTGGATCTGTGCTGGCCCCTCCCTGTCGGCCCCTCCAGTGCCGCTCCTGGCGCGTTCCGCGCGCAAGGGAGGGGGCCCAACGCAGAACCAACAAATCTGCGCGGAGCTCCGAAACTTTCCAGGTGAGCATCAGATTAAGAAACCTCCCCACTAAAAGTTGGGCCAGCGGTTCTCAACCAAGTTGCCAGAAACCTCGCCCAGTTTCTTGAGCACGCTCGCTTCCTCCAACCTCAGTCACAGAGGTTGGCTCAGGCCCGCTTGAAGAAACTTCTGGGAAGCTGGCCCAGGTTGCTAAAATGTGATTTTCTTGTGTTCGCAATGTCGGCTGTCTGTTTATGCTGTCTTCTCTGCTGCCACAAGGGCTGGGGGCGCCCTGGCGGAACATCACCGACTGGGGCAGCGACAGGTCCCTGGTGGCCAGCGGCAGCGGCTACGAGGTCACCGTGTCCAAGGTCAGCTGGTCCGGCAGGCGGCACAGCAGGCCCTGGGCGCCGAACGTCGCCGGGCAGTTCGAGATCCGCGTGCGGGACACGAGGAGCAAGGAGGCGACGAAGGTCATCATCCGGCAAGACTGGAGGAACGAGCAATGACATAAACATAAAAATCTCGGAGGTCCGCGCGGATTTCTCGGATCGGCGCTGGACCCTCGTGGCGGCGCTTCTGGCGACGCCCCTGGCGTGCTCCGCGCCAGGGAGGGGGGGTCCCGCGCCGATCCGAGGAATCCGCGCGGACCTCAGAGTCTTCATGTGATAGGGCATGTTTCCACCACCACCACCATAAGTTGGTGGGGGGGAAGGAGGTGGAGGATGAGGAGGAGGAAGAAGAGGAGGAGGACCCCCTCCCCTCCTACTTATGGTGGCGGTGGTGGAAAACAGGCCCTCCATTCATGTTCATGTCAGTGTTCGTTCCCCTGAAGACCTCGCGTACCAGCAGCATCTGAGCGTCGCGGTCCGCCGCCTGAGCGCGCTCGGCCGCGAAGACATCGGGGGCCTCATCTCGAGTAGGGGATCGGCTGCATAGTTCATTCACCCCCAGATTGATCTTCTCGTCGAGGATCCACGAACACTATACGAATGTCTCATGGACTCGACGAACAAATCAATTCTGGGCCTCAATCGTCGATCCCCTACTCGATCATCGGCCTCGACGAGCGCCCAGCGTCCCTGGCGGAGGTGGCGCCCGAGTGTCGGCGCCACAGGAGCGGCCTGGACGGCCGGAGGGGCCCCAGGGCCACGGCGCCCTGGCAGACTCGCTGGACCAAGGCTCGGCGGCTCGAAAGTGGGGCTTTGAGGGATGGGGCCCCAAGGACAGGAAGTGGACCGCAGGCTTCCTCTCCTCCTTCTCCCCCTCCCCCTCCTTCTCCCCCTCCCCTCCTCCCCACCTCCTCCCCCTCCCCTCCCCCTCCTCCCCCACTTCCTCCCTCTCCCCCTCCCCCCCACCTCCTCCTCCTCCTCCACCTCCTCCTCTTCCTCCTTCTCCTCCTCCTCCTCCTCCTCCTCCTCGTCTTCCTCCGTTGCCATTTTGGCTCAAGGCCCCTCCGTCCCGTTGCAGCAGTAGCGGGGGACTGCGCCGAGAGCGGGCAACCTTTCTTAAGGATTTCTGGCACGTCGGGTGCCAGCGGACACCTTTCCATCACGAATTTCCTTTTTCTCCTCCCATGGGCCTCCGCGGCCGCGCTGGTCCTGCAGGCGCCGACGAGGACGCCGACGCCAAGAGCAGGAGTGGCGAACGTAGGTCTCATCGTGCTGGAGACCGAGACGACCTTCAAGAACAGGATCCCTGGAAACATCACCGAGCTGCAGCAGGACTTCCTCCTTCTGCTGTCTCGACAGCTGGCAGCACGTCCAGTGGTGGTTCAGTTGGAGGCACCGCGGACAGTATCATCAACAAGCACATGGAGCAGTTCAGAGGCCACATGGCCAAATACATGGAGACCACCTTCAGGACACGATGCAGTCTGTACGTGAGGAGTTGGGTACGATGGTGGCAAAGCAGCTCCAGCCCCACGCGGAACGCCTCGACAGACAACAGGCCCAGCTTCGAGTGGTTCAAGCCAAGAATGAGGAGCTCAGCCAAGAGCAAGAGGCCCTCAAGGCATCGGTCAAGCAGCTGCAGGACACCCTGGCCATCGCAGAGCAGCAGGCAGCTGCACCCATCGACGTGGCCAAACTCATGGAGTGGAACCGCACCGTCGACCCCTCAGTCTTCATCCTGTCCTGCGATGTGGCGGCAGCTCCGAATGACATATTCAATGCACTTGACGAATGGTTGCAGGCGGCCAATGTATCCAGGGACCAGCTGCGACTGGTCGGCGACACCCCGCAGAAGAAGTTCATCCTGCAGTGCATCGGAGGTGCCGCTGGTATTGCCCGAGCCAATGCACTGCAGACATCCCTCAAGTTACCCAACAACCAAGGTTGGCGCCAGTTTGAGGTGCTCGCTGTCAGCGGAGCTCGGATTGCCCTGTACGTCAACCCTGATAAGAACGCAAAAGACATTCGGAAAGAGGTTCAGACCAAGAAGCTGCTGGGGCTGGTACGGACAGCTGCGGCATCTTCGACGGTGGCTAGCACGCGTTCTACAGGATGCTGGGCACGGAGACCGAAAGGACTGGTCTACATCGGGCAGACAGCAATCGTATCGGTGCAGGTTCAGGGTCCTGAGGAAGCTTCGAAATTGGCATGGCACACACAGGCTGCAGAACGGCTCGGCATCGATTGGCAAGCGGTCAGCACTCAATTCAAAGATCTATGGAAGGAGGTTGACACATCAGATTCGACGTGTTCCTAATCAGCGTTTCGCACCGTGGGAACTCCAGGCATCCTCGCACCACGTCGGCATTGTCTGCTGGAACGCCCACGGTCTTCTGTTGCGTCGGGATCCTGCACGGCGCCGCCGTAAAATTGCAAGTGCGGCAGACCTTCTTCGCAAGCGTAATGTTGTTACCATTCAAGAGGTCCATGGTTTTGAAATCTCATTGACCAACTACCTGAACCAGTTTAACGCGAACTACAAGATACTTTTTTCGGGGACGGACCGTCCCAGTGCAGGCGGGATGGCGATCTTGATTCCACGGTATGACGAGCGCACTGTGGCGGCTGCTGGGGCGTCAGGACTTCCTCGGCTCCGCCACCGCACCCTGGACGATGGAAGAGCCATCTTGACGAGCATCGAGAACCCTGTGACAAAGGGTGAGTTTCGCATCATGAATATTCAGAACTACGATATTTCGGAGGCGGGTCGTACAAAGATCAAGCGGGTCTGGAAGGAATGTATTGCTTGGTCGAAGCGCGACCCGTTGAGGCACACGTTCATTGTTGGCGGCGACTTCAACATGACTGATGTACCGACGGAGTCCATTCTGTATCCACAACCGAAACAAGCGAGGAGATCTGAGGCAGGCCGTGCCAACCGCTCGGAGCCGTTCTGGCGTGAGCTCTTCAATGATGCGGCGATGCTTGAGGTTTGTTCTCCAATTCCGACTCATTACACTGCTGATGACAATGTCTTGAGAACTATTGATCGTTTCTTTGTTTCTATAGAGTCGGCCTTCGCCATTGAGACTGAGATGGACGTGGAGGTGATCCAGGACGCCTTCACACTGAATGCCAAGCAGCTGAGCGACCATGCGATCATCAAACTTCGGATGGCTACTCGACGAACCCCTGCTTCGGCCCACCAACGCATCCCTTCATTCATCTTCAAGAGCGATGAGTATCGTGCTGCCCTCGAGAGATGCATTGTCGGATGCAACTATGAGATGATGGAGCCGCACCGCCAGTGGGAGGCGATCAAAGAACTTATGACGGTGGCGGCGGGGACTGCACGTAATGAACTCTTGGCCAAGGAAGTCGCAGGAGAAGGTGATATCCCGAGAAGAGCGACCTTACTGGCCTTTGGCGCTGCGGCTCGCGCAGTGTGGCGCCAGGACGTGCGGCTGGCAAAGAAGCTGATCAACCACACGATCGTCGGCGAGAGGGAGCTCTACATCGAGGGGCACGAGGTGAAGCTGAGGCAGCCCGACACGTTCCACAACCGGGTGAAGGATGCGCAGGCTGCCATGTTGGACCGCGAAGCCGCTGCATTGGAGCGTCAGGGTGCAGGCCGCACTACCAAGCGGAGTGCGACGGTGATGGTGCAGCGGGCGCTCCTGTGGAACAACACCGAGCGGATGCTGATCCTGGCTGGTGTGAGGCAAGGCCAGATGACCAACAGGGCAGCGTCGGGGGCGCTGGCCTCTGAGGGGGTTGAGGTTGTGCGAGATCCCAGCTCCATGGTAGAGGCTCTGAAGAAGCACTGTGAGCCCGCCTTCACGGCCTCCCCTGTGCGTGAAGACCTGATTGGCCCCTTCCTGGATCGCCACATGTCCGAGCTTGATAATGCGTTGCTGCAGATACCCACAGTCGACAACCTCCGCTTCGTCTTCAAGCGGGCGAAGGATTCAGCTCCTGGACCTGATCGACTCCCAGCTCGCGCATGGCGCGGCCATCCGCACTTGACCATGGCACTGCACAGAGTGATGGAAGAGATGGCCAGCGGGCGGCGGCCGCCTGAGCACTTCAACGACTGCCTCCTTGCGTTTCTGCCCAAAGGCGACGAGCCCTCGGACCTCGTGGACTGCGCGAGATCTCCTGAGTGCACGAGGCCCTTGGCTTTAAAGAACTCGGACAGTAAAGGTGTGGCCGCTGCGGTCAACCTGTATCTAGCTGGTGTCGTCGCTAGAGATGCCCATGGGGTCCAGAAAGGGTTCGTTGCTGGAAGGAAGTTTGGCGAGCACATTGTTGCTCTCGACGCCGAATGTCGGCGGGCGGGGCTCCTTCCAGCGGCGGCCGAAAGACTCCCAGGGTTCTTTAGTTTCGATGTGCGCGCTGCCTTCCCGAGCATGCCTCAACTTTTCCTCCGTCGCACGCTTGAGCGGTTTCGTCCCCCCCCCCCCCCTCCTATTACAACATGCTCGACGGATTGGCACACGACACCCTCGGACACGCCCGTGTGGGTGAAAATGTAGAGCCACTTTTTTCTATCACGTCAGGCGTCCCCCAAGGGTGCCCATTGTCGGGGAGTCTCTGGGCGCTTGGTTTCGACCCCTGGGTGCGTTGTCTGGCCATGGCGTTTCCGTCGGAGCAAGTGGGGACCCTCGGGGGGTGCGCCGACGATATTGGCGCGGTCGCAATGACCATCCAGAGTGCTAAGCATATGCACCGCACTTTCGAGCAAGCCGAGCAGCTTGCCTCTTTCCAGCTCCAGCCCAGTAAGTGTTGTTTCGTCCCTCTTTGGGCCCCGTGCGATGAATTGACGATTTGCAGCGCGAGAGAGGCCCTCGCTGAAGTTGCCCCAGGGTGGGAGAATTTTAAAATCGTGGGCGCTGCGAAGTACCTCGGGGTTTGGCTCGGCCCTGAGGCCGACCTTCGGGCCCAGTGGAAAGCTCCTGGCCAGAAATGGTGGTCTAGGTGCCGAGAGATAGCGCTGTCTCGGGCACCCTCTGAAGCCTCCTGCCGTCTCTACCTTATGGTTGTCCTGCCGTGCCTCTCGTATGTTGCCCAATTTTTTCCTCCTGACCCCCACCTCCTCTCCAAGGAAAGCCTGGCGCTGCACAAGCTGCTTCTCATCCCCCCAACTCATTTCGCATCGACGAGCTCCTGGGACTTGGTCGGTGGATGACATCGGCCGCGCCACTGCCAGTAGAGCTCTCATGCATAGCCAACGCGTGGCGTGCGAGCCACATCACATTCGGAGGATGGAGGAGTGTCGGTGAGCGGTTGAGGACGGCGGCGGAGGATTTCGGCACGGTCATAGACCTAGTGCGCCAGGAGTGGTCGCCAAGGTTTTGGAAACGTCGTGTTTCAATCGCCCAGTTTGTTACGGCTCTCGAGGAGCCGCTGCAAGAATTTCCGTCGGGGATCCAGGCAAGGGCGAAACGGTCCCTTGTCACGATGTCGCGAATTCCTCGACCAATCTTTCGTCGCGCCATTGCCGACGCTGCGGAGCCCCTGCGTGCTCCCGCCGCGGCCGACGGAGAGAGTCGGCGGAAAAGGGCCGGCCCCAGCAGACAGACTCGTCTCCTTCGGTCTCTCTGCGCTGATCTGCTCCCTGACTCCATTCCTAACCTTCTCGCTCGTCGTCTTCCGAAGTGGATGTTTGATCAGCAATTGCCTGATGCTGCGGAGCTTGCCAATCGCTGGTCGGCTCTCAAAGATGTGCTTTCCTCCCGCCCCCCCTCTTTCGTTTGGCCCCATCTCAAGACTCTCGCGGGAGCGTGGATCACTTCCTCGCGGGTCGGAATTTTGACTCCCAAAGGATGCCGTTTCGGGTGCAGCGAAGAGGTCCTAGGGATCGAAGTTCGCGCATCTGACTCGATTGGCCACTATCTTCGGTGTCCTCGTCTCTCTCATCTATGTGCTCTCCCACGAGTGGTGATTCCACAGGACCCGCTGATCCGTCTTGGGCTAGGACCAGCATCTGCCTATAATGTAGCTTGTGAGTATGATCCCATCGATATCTGTCGGTGTAATCATATCTGTGTCCTTGCGTTTCATATATATATATCATAAATTAAGGTGTGAGCTCGCTGCGAACCCGCACCTCCAAGGATCCGACACCACGTCTTTTCGCGCCAGGCATGCAGCCCTGACGTGCATCGACACCAATGCGGCAGCGAGAGCTTCCGCCAGGCAGCCGCCTTGTCGTGTTGCTCCTGCCCCTGCTGCCCTCGTGCCTCATCCTCCTCCAGGGCTGGAGGGCAGCGGAGTGTTTACCCCCAACTAGAGTGACCTTCCTGGGACGCACCTCAGAGGGTACGTGCGCTCTTCCTCCTCCTCCTCACCCTCCTAGCCATCGTGCCGTTCCCAAACCGTTCGCCGCTGGGCCGCCTCGCGCCGCGCCCGCCGTCGGTACCTGGGGCAGATGGCCCACGGGCACCGCGGGCTGGGCGGCGCTGGCTATGCACGCGGCTGCGGGCCTCTCGCGGCGCACAGCGGAGGCGTCCCGCCTCCTGCGCGCCGCCGAGGGGCTGTGCCGCGCGGCGGTGGCGAGCCTTCGCGGCTCCGCCACGTCGCCGCCCGCGCCCGCGCCCGACGCCGCACCTCCCCCGCCCAAGGCGGCGGCGACGAGGGCGAGGGGCCCGCGGGGCGGCTGCCGCGGGCCGCGCCGCGCGTGCCGCGGCGGCCGAGGAGGCGAGCGCCCACCCTGGATAGAGACTGGCCGCGCCCATGGCGGTGGAAGTGGCTGGCGACGGCGGCGGGCCGAAGCGGCGGCGCCGCCGCCCTCTCCCCGCACCTGCCGCTGCACGTCATGATGACGCTGCTGCTGGTCTTCCTCTCATGGTGCTGGACACTTCGCAGGAGGCGGAGCTGGACGACGAGAGGGCCGACGGTGGCCGCCCAGCACTCCCTGGCCGTGGCGGTGCTGGCGCGGCGGCGGCCTGCGATGGCGCTGGCTCCGAGGCGGCTGGCGCCGCGGTGGGGCCCTCCGAGGCGGACGCCTTCGCGGCGATCGCCCTCGCGCACGGGCTTTCGCCCGAGCACGCCGCCGCCCTCGCCGCGGGACCTTGCCTTCGCTGGCGGAGCCCGCGGCGGTGCCTCATAAGGCAGCCGTTCGAGGCGGGGGCGGCGGCTGCGGCGGCGTCCGGGGCCCCCCCGTCCTCGTCTTCAGCATGTCCATGTTCGTGGGCACGTTCGGGGGACCTGGCACCTCCCTCCGCGGTCGCGGCCGCGCGCGGCCGCTAATTCCCGCGGGAGCCCCCCTCTTTGAGGCTGCCCTACCTACCTACCTGCCTCCTCCTTCTCCTCCTCTTCCTCCTCCTCCTCCTCCTCCTCCTCCTCCTCCTCCTCCTCCTCCTCCTCCTCCTCCTCCTACTACTCCCCCACCTCCTTCATTCCTTTGCCTCCTGCCCCCCTCCTTTTCCTTAATGAATCACTTCTCCCCTTCGCACCCCGAGACCAGTTTTTAGGGCGGGCCCGGCGTTTCGCCTGATGTTGCCTTACCACGCGTGGCCCTGAAGCTCAGACGTTGGCAACAGTTTCACATCACAGATAGCGGGCGGGCCGTTTTCAAAATGTGGCTCTCGCCTTAGCGCCGCGCACATTTGACTTCAGAATTTGCAAGAGCTTCACAGATTGAGGGCTGGCCGTTTTCAAAATGTGGCTCTCGTTTTTGCGCGGCGCACGCTCGTTTCAAAAAATTGTAAGTGCTTCGCGGATGGAGGGCGGGCCGCTTTCAAAATGTGGCTCTCGCTTTAGCGCCGCGCACATTCGTTTTCCAACATTTGCAAGAGCTTCACGGATTGAGGGCGGGCCGTTTTCAAAATGTGGTTCTCGCTGTAGCGCCGCGCGCATTCGTTTTAAACTTTGCAAGAGTTTCACGGGTTCCCATGATCAACCTACCAGAAACGGCGTTCTGGAAGGGTTCAAGATTCTGAGTGTGCATCCGTTGCGTTGATTCGTGGTGTTGCAGTCCCAGGAATGGCGTTCTGGCACGCTTCAGGATCGTCAATACGCAACCGTCAGTTTGATCCGTAGCGTCGACCGCTGTAGGGGCCTATGACGAGGGAGTTTAGAGGGGGATTGGTTTCTCAACATCGCTGATGATTTTTGGGTTTACATTGGTCCTCCTCCTCCTCCTCCTCCTCCTCCTCCTCCTCCTCCTCCTCCTCCTCCTCCTCCTCCTCCTCCTCCTCCCAGTCCTCCTTCTGCTCCATTTTCCTTATAAGCAATTTCTCCCTCTTGCACCCCGAGGCCAGTTTTTAAGGCGGGCCGGGCGTTTCGCCTGAAATGTCCTCACTATCTATGATACTGAAGCTTAAAAATTGGCAACAACTTCGCAGATGGAGGGCGGGTCGTTTTCAAAATGTGGCTCTCGCCTTAGCGCCGCGCGCACTCGTTTTGAACATGTGCAAGAGTTTCGCAGATTGAGGGCGGGTGGTTTCAAAATGTGGTTTTCGCCTTAGCGCGGCGCGCGTTCTTTTTAAACATTTGCAAGTGCTTCGCGGATTGAGGGCGGGCCGTTTTCAAGATGGTGCTCTCGCCTGAGCGCGGCGCACATTCGTTTCAAACATGTGCAAGAGCTTCACGGATTGAGGGCGAGTGGTTTTCAAACAATGGTTTTCGAGTTAGCGCCGCGCACATTCGTTTTCCAACATTTGCAAGAACTTCACGGATTGAGGGCGGCTCCTTTTCAAAATGTGGTTCTCGCTGTAGCGCCGCGCGCATTCGTTTTAAACTTTGCAAGAGTTTCACGGGTTCCCATGATCAACCTACCAGAAACGGCGTTCTGGAAGGGTTCAAGATTCTGAGTGTGCATCCGTTACGTTGATTCGTGGTGTTGCAGTCCCAGGAATGGCGTTCTGGCACGCTTCAGGATCGTCAATACGCAACCGTCAGTTTGATCCGTGGCGTCGACCGCTGTAGGGGCCTATGACGAGGGAGTTTAGAGGGGGATTGGTTTCTCAACATCGCTGATGATTCTTGGGTTTACATTGGTCCTCCTCCTCCTCCTCCTCCTCCTCCTCCTCCTCCTCCCAGTCCTCCTTCTGCTCCATTTTCCTTATAAGCAATTTCTCCCTCTTGCACCCCGAGGCCAGTTTTTAAGGCGGGCCGCGCACACTCTTAAAGCAGCTGCAAGAGTTTCACGGGTTCCCATCATCAACGTACCAGAATTGTGTTTTGGAGGGATTCCGAATACTGCGGGCGTAACAGTTACGTTGATTCTCTGTGTTGAAGTCCTAGGACTGGCGTTTTGGTGCGCTTCAGGATCGTCAAGACGCAACAGTCAGGTTGATCCGTGGCCTTGAAATCCCGAGAACACTGTTTGGCATGTCTCAAGGTCTTCAAACGGGTGTCTTCCAACGAGGCAGTTCCATCAATGGAGATGAACCGTTGTAAGGGCCTGTGAAGAGGGAGCTTGGAAGGAGGGTTTATTCCAACATCATTGATGATTCTTGGGTTTACACTGGTCCGCCTCCTCCTCTTCCTCCACCTCCTCCTCCTCCTTTCTCCTCCTCCTCCTCCTTCTCCTTCTCGACCTCCTCCTCCTCTTCCTCCTCCTCCTCCTCCTCTACAGCTGAACGCTCGCTGTCTGAGACCACCCGACCCCAGGGACCCATCCCCCACCCCGACCCCCGACGTCACGAGCTTTCCACGGCGTGGGCCCTTCGAGGTCTCGACCCATTCCCCGAGGCCACTTCTTCAGCCTGACTCGTTTTTGGATTGGCCCGGGGCCAGGTGAGGGCCCTGGTTTTCCCATGCGACCTGGTTTTCCCATGCGACGGGGGCCTGGGCAGGGCCCCTCCTGGAGCCTCCGATAGGTCAAGGAGGAGCGCGGCAACCAGGCGGGCCCCGCGGACATCGACCCGGAGGCGAAGCAGAGAGACGCGGAGAGCAGGACCTGGGGCCTTGGCAAAGGAGGCGCAGCAGCGGCAGGAACAGGAGGAGGAGGAGGAGGAGGAGGAGCAGCAGGAGGAGGAGGAGGAGGAGGAGGAGAAGGGGGAGGAGGAGCAGGAGGCTGTTGAGGAGGAGGAGGAGGAGGAGAAACAGGAGGAGCAAAAAGGAGAGGAGGAGGAGGGAGCAGGAGGAGGAGAAGGAGAGGCGGAGGAGGAGGAGGAGCAGCAGGAGCAGCAGGAGGAGAGAGAGAGGGGCGAGGTGTCCGCTGCGCGTGTCTGACCCCGCTGGGTCCTCCAGATGCCTCCTCCCCCCCCCCCCCTCCCCCCCCCTCCTCCTCCTCCTTCTCCTCCTCTCTTCTTCCTCTTCCTCTCCTCCTCCTCCTCCTCCTCCTCCTTCTCCTCCTCCCCCTCCCCCCTTCTCCCTCCACCTCTCCCTCCACTCTCCCTCCTGCTCCTCCTGCTCTTGCTCCTGCTCCTGCTGCTCCTCCTCCCCCTCCTCTTTCTCGTCTCCTTCCTACTCCTTCTCCTCCTCCTCCTCCCCTCTCCTCCTCCCCCCTCCTCCTCCTCCTCCTCCTCCTCCTCCTCCTCCTCCTCCTTCCCCCCTCCTCCCCCATCCTCCCCCTCTTCCCCCCCCCCTTCTCACCCGGCTCACAGTCCCCGCCCTCCTTGTCCTCGTCCCCCTCCCTGCTCACCCGGAAGCTTTCGCCCCCCGCCCCGGAGGATTCTGACCCCCAGGGATCCCCGGGAGGTCCCCGCCCGTGCACGGGGTAGCCTGGAGGCCTCCCGATCGGGGGCGGCCCAGAGGGGCTTGATTACAATGGGGGGTGAGGGAGAAAGTATGGCGGGGCCATGATATCTCACCAGAGTTCATGACGCGTCTTCTTCATTCAATACACGTCCCCAGCCCTCCCCTGGGCCGCGCGCATACCGCCGGCCATGATTTGTGCCCTCCCTCTTGGACCCCTCCTTTTGGACGCCCCCGACCTGAGGTCGGGGTAGCCTGGAGGCCTCCAGAGGTCGACCACACGTATGAGCGACCCTGCGCAAGAGTGACCTTTGGTGCGGGCTCATCGGGATCCCTGCGATCGCTGAGCGCGACGCGATAGCAGCTGACTGCGCGCTTGGATTTGGCCACCTTGCGCCCTCGTAAGCCGCGCACCAAAGGTCACTCTTACCCAAGGTCGCTCTTGCGTGTAGCCGAAGAGGCCCCCGGAGGGAGGCCCGACAGGGGCCGAGAACGTGGGAAGCCTCCCCGGCCCTCAACCCTGTCGGATGGGGCTAGGACGAGGCTCAATCCGTTCCAGAGCTTTCTGGAACGCTCTCAGAGCGTTCCGGCAGGCTCTGAGAAGGCCGCGGCGCCCGATACCTCCTCCAGAACCGCCGGATCTATGAGATTCTCGGCTTGTCCCCACCCTATTTTATCCTCGTTCTGGCTTCGTCTCGAGGGGCCGAACACCTGAGATCCGACGCTGCAGAAAAATTGCAACATCGCAAAAAAAACGACCAGAGCCCTGGACCCCATCTTTCTGCACCACGTTTCGAGCCGGATGGACCTGTGAGGGTCCCGGGGCCCGCAACGGAGGGCAGGCGCCCGCTGCGGAACAAAGGTGCAACGCCAGGATCTCAGGGCCCCTCCACCCTGGAGGGTCGAGGGCTGCAAAAAAAACCGAAGGACTGCAAAAAAAACTCGAAGGACTGCAAAGGACTGCAAAAAAACCCTTTTGCTGGTTTTTTTTGCCGGGTTTTTTTGCCGTCCTTTTTGCAGTCCTTCGGTTTTTTTGCAGACCTGGCCCTCGCCGCCCTCGCCCGGGAGGGGAGGCGGTGGTGCGACCGCCGGCCCCCGAGCGCTGCGGACACACACCCCCGCCCGGCGGCGCGCCAGGCTGGGGCGGGGCCGCCCGCGGGAAGGTCCGGGGCCGAGCCCCGAGAGGCCGGGCGGCCCGCAAGAGCGGCCTTGCCTTGAGAGTCTGGGCGCGCCCCGAGATACGTCGAAGAACAAAGCACGGCATACACAGAAGTGTTTGGCGCTCCGCGCCGATCCCTTGGACCCGCGCTGGGGAGGGGGGTCCAGCGCAGATCCGAGAAATCCGCGCGGAGCGCCACAACAGTTTATGTTTCTGCGTTTTTTGTTCTAATGCGGGGGCCCACGTTCCTGTCAACATCCGTGTCCAGGCGGAAGGCGCTGCCCACCCTTGGGCGGGAGCTCTCTCCACAAGCGAGACAAGACACCACGGCCATCACGTGTGGCGCCCGCAGGAGGGCATGGGCCGGCCAACGCTTGGACTTTGTCAACACAGTGCCGACCACACGCCCTGCAAAACAAAACTCTACGAAAGCAGTCCAGCTGATCACCAATTGTCGATTGTCGCGTGTAGACGACGCTGAGGTGTCGAGCGCAGCACTGTTTTGGCACAGACGACCGCGGCGCCCGAGCCGGGATTCCCTGCCCGAGGTTTTCGAGGTCCCCAGGGGCCTCCAGAGACGAGGGCAAAAGACGTGCGAGGACCTCCCCCCCCTGAACCCCCGAGGGTCGAGGACCGCACCTTGGCGACGCAGGCAGACGCGCTCGACTGCGCGGACGTTCGCGCACAAGCTGCCCGCGTAAGGTCGCGCGTCCGCGCCTTCGTTTCCGACGTGGCGTGCCGCGCTGGCGGCCCGCGTATGCCGCTGCGCAAGGTCGCTATGCCATCTTGCGCACGGCAGGTTCGCACCGTGTCCACCCGCGGCGACCCCGCCGCCGGCGTTCAGCGTGGAACGCCGCCGGCGACCCGAATCGGTCGATGCTGAACGATCTGACGTTTCGGAAACCGGTCGCTCAAGGTTGAACGATCTCGCGGTGTCAGGAATCAACGCCGGGTTCGACACGACACGAACCTGCCGTAGCCAGCCTCGCGCAGAGGAGAGTAGGGGGAGGGGGGAAGGCTTCTTAGGAACACCCCGCCTTCTTAGAAGCCGCGGGCCTCGTCTGTAGACGAAGGGCCAGCGCCTTCTGAGAGGCAGCCTCGTTCTCAGAAGCCTTCCGCCCTCCCCCTACCCCCTTGTGCGCGCCGCCAACGCAGGGCCCGTCGCTCACCTGGCACTCGCCCTGCTCGCCCCCACCACCCGCCGCAGCAGAGGCGGCGGGAGGGCGGCAGGATCTCCAGCGGCGGCGGCGAGGGCGGGGAGCTGATGTGCGTGTGCGAGAGCGGGCGGGCGTCGCTGGACGAAGACGCGATGAGGCTGGAGGCGCAGGAGCGGGGAGGGGGCGGAGGAGGAGGAGGAGGAGGAGGAGGAGGAGGAGGAGGAGGAGGAAGATGAGATGCTGCGGGCGAGCGCGCCCCATAGCATGCTTGAGAGGAGTAGGAGGAGGAGGAGAGAGGAGAAGAGATGCCTCGGGTGAGCGCGCCCCCATGGCATGCTGAAGGGGGAAGGAGGAGGAGGAGGAGGAGGAGAGGAGGAGGAGGAGGAGGAGAACCCAGGAGGAGGAGGAGGAAGAGGAGATGCTGCGGGCGAGCGCGATGGAGGAGGAGGAGGAGGAGGAGGAGGAGGAGGAGGAGGAGGAGGAGGAGGAGGAGGAGGAGGAGGAGGAGGAGGAATAGGGAGGAGGAGGGGAGAAGGGGAGGCGGAGGCGGAGGAGGAGGCGGAGGAGGAGGAGGAGGAGGGAGGAGGGGGAATGGAATTGGAGGAGGAGGAGAAGGAGGCGGAGGCGGAGGCGGAGGAGGAGGAGGAGGAGGAGGAGGAGGAGGAGGAGGGGAAGAAAGAGGAGGAGGAGGAGGAGGAGGAGAAAGAGGAGGTACTGCGGGCGAGCGCGCCCCATGGCATGCCTGAGAGGAACGGGTGGGGACAGACGCTGCGATCTGGTGTTCGGAGCCTGTGCAACGCAGGACCGCAGTGGGGGAAGCGCGTCCTGAGGGAAACGGGTCCTGATGCTTTACGGTAGGTTTGCGTCGTGTCGACTCGCGGCGACCCCAGCGCGGGCGTTCAAGGTTGAACGCCGCCGGCGAGCCAGAATCGATCGATGTTGAACGATCGGACGTTGCGGCAGCGGCAGATCATTCAAGGTTGAACGATCCCTGCGGTGTCAAAAACCAACGCTGGGGTCGGCACGAAACGAACCTGCCGTACGTTGTTTTCGGCGGCAAGCGAGCGGGGGGAATGAGAAGGAGAATGCCTTCTCAGAAGGCGGCGGGGCTTCTCAGAAGCCTTCGCGCCTTCTGAAAGGTTTTCTGAACCCTCGGGGAAGGCTTAGAAGGGGACCCCCGCGCCTTCTGAAACATGCCAGCCCCTGCTCACTTCCTTCCCTCGCTCGCCGCCGACTGGTCATCAGAGCCCGTGCAACGTAGAAGGGTTTTGTTGTCACCTGGGCCATCCCTTGCCAACAATATCCCTCGCAGACGAGGTCATCGGCCGACACCGAGGTGCCTTCGAGTCTCGGATGGCGGCCTCCTGAGACGAGAGACCAGCCATCCTTGTGTTTTCTCGTGGCCCCGTTAACACTCAATCACTTTTTGCCCATTAGCTTCAGGGGTCTTCTTCCTCCTCTTCCTGGTAGAGTCGGCTTTGCACGAGATACAGACGAACAATGGACTCTCATTGGAACAGTCTAAAGACAGGAGCTTGTGTCCACGCTCGCTCGCTCCAGGAATAGTCGCAGGGACTGCCCCAGAACCGCTTGAGGCTGATGGGCGCGGTATCCTGACGATTGATGCGCAGACGTGTGCCGCACCTCCAGTCAGAACGCGACCAGGACCAGTCGTGCTCAAAGGAAGGACCCACATCCCGAGCAGGACCTTGGGTCCTCGTGTGAGTTCAATATCGTAAGGTCGACCCTAGGTCAAAGATGCAGGAGCCGTGCTCCGATCCGAGCGATCGGTTTGGCCAGCCAGATTTGCCGACGCGACAAATGTCCCTCGATTGCCGACGGCCCCGGGTGAAGCTGTAGGCCCAATTTCGCAGCCCCGTCAGCCGAGCCATTACCAATTTTAAAGAAGGCGTCCTGGTCCGAGTGCGCATCTCCTTCCAGGACGTGGGCCTTGACCTTGCTAAGGAGGATCATATCATGCCATGGTAAGGCCTGTCATTAAAACAACAAGTGGGTGGCTCTGAGAGCGTTCCTGGCTTTAACCACGTTGAGGCAATTCAGAGTTGCCTCTAAGACATTGAGAGGAGGCGTCAAGGGTTGCAAATTCCCAAGCCCGACTCGCCTGAGGGAGAGGGGCCCAGCAGGGCCCACATACAGTACACGCCAAGTTCCCAGTCTCATCGTCGGCTGTAAACCCCAGGTTGGCAACCGCCGTCCATGAGGGTATCCCCGGAGATGCCAGTGTCTTCCCTCTTCTGGTCGTGGTCCCAAGCCACACACACGCACGCACCTCCATCACGCCTCGGTCGAGGCCAAGTGTGACCTGGGTGAAGAAAGGCGCTTGTGGTGAACCAGAACACCTGCTTGGGATCGTTGTGATAAATCGATATGGCGGCTTCCTGGGTCTCGTTATCAACCATCACCCCACTATCATGTCGAACGACCAGACAGCACCACGTGTGATGAAACATGATTTCTGGAGCGGTCAGGTACAGCGGGCAAATACCGTCGGCCAAGTGGTACCCAGTTTGGAACCCACGGTCCTTGGTCCCAGCCGTTCCTGAACTATGGCCCCGGACGCAGCTTTTTTGTTATCATGCGCAGTGTATTTGCTCGAACGAAACCCATAATCGATAACGTTGTAACATAAGTTGCGCTCGAGTCCTGGGACTTACCAGCGTCTCTGAACCGTCTGTGCACCTGCAATCGTGCTAAAGCACAGTCCCTGATACTCCAACGCCGCGAACCCACGTGACTGTTGCGCCCTGACAATCCGGACTCGTACCAGAGCTCGAGTCCTGGGACTTCAGCACCGCGAGCCAGCATGATTGGTGCGTCCTGACAACCCTAATTCGCATCGCTCCAGAACACCATCGGTGGGGCTCCCAGCCTACGAGTCCTTGAACATGTTGAACATGTTTAAGACGAGTGCACGCGGCGCTGCGACGACTGTTACCTTTTGAAAAAAAGAAACGGCCCTGCACCAGTACAGTGTTTGCAAACTTTTGAGACGAATGCGCACGGCGATAGCGCGAGAACCACAGTTTGAAAAGGAGCCGCCCTCCATCCTTGAAGCTGCTGCAGGCTTTAAAGACGAATGCAAGCGGCGGTAAGGCGAGAGCCACAGTATCAAACTGTTTCAGACAAGTGCGCGGCGCCAATGCGAGAGCCACATTATGAAAAGGGCCCGCCCTCCACCTTTGAAACGGTTGCAAACGTTCAAGACACATGCGCGCGGGTTGGGTCGAGGGCCACATGTTGAAGACGGCCCGCCTTCCATTGTTGGAATGTGCGCGGCGCTAAAGCGAGAGCCACAGTTTGAAAGCCACCCGCCCTCCAACCTTGAGCCTGTTGCAAATTTCAAACTTCAGCATCACACATGGTGCGGAGGCCTCAGGCGAAACGCCCGACCTGCCGTACCGACATGTCTGGGGTGCGACAGGGAGAAGTAAGGTGTAAGGGAAAGGGATGGAGGAGACAGAGGGGGAAAACGAACAGGAGGAGGAGGCGCAGGAGGAGGAGGAGGCGGAGGGGGAGGAGGAGGGATAGGAGGAGGAGGAGGAAGAGTAGGAGGAGGAGGAAGAGGGGAGGAGGAGGAAGAGGAGGAGGAGGAGGAGAGGAGGAGGAGGGGGAGGAGGAGGCGGCAGTCGAGTATTGTATTGATGTCTTCTCGGCTTTACCAGAGAGCTGAGGTGCAGATGTCGGATTCCGAGGCGCACGCCTCCTTGGAGGTCGCGGGTTAGCCCAGAAAAGTGTTTTAGTATCGCGGCGTCGAAGCGGACAGGAGGAGGATTGGGGGACTTCAAGGAGGGGGAGGAGGGGGAAGAGGAAAAGGAGAGGGAAGAGGAGTTGGAGGAGGAGGGAAGGGAAGGGAAAGGGGAAGGAGGAGGACGGGGAGGAGGATGATGATGATGAGGAGGAGGAGGAGGAGAAGCACGAGAGGGATCATGCGTAAGAAATAGACGATGAGGCAGAGGACTACCATGGCAAACCCAAGACGTGTCAACGATGTTGCAACACACGCTTCCGCCCCAAGTGCCCTCTGTACGAATCCCTAAAACATTGTTTTACATTGCGCGAGAGGCGTTAACTCAGGCGAGAGCTCTGTTTAGAAGTGAGGCCGCACTCCATGCTTCGAGCTACAAGAATGCGACACAGAAGGGGTGAAAGTTAAAGGAAATGCCCAGCGGCAGCCCCGCTCTGAAAAGGAAAGAGCCGCCCTGCATCCGTGTAGTTATTGTGGATGCTATAACTTCGGATCCGCAAACCAAGCGACGTCTGACGCGAGAGCCCAATTGAAAAAAGGGAACTCTCCTTCATCCGCCGTTGCGCAAATTCGCACTTGTGGTGCTAGCTGCCGTGCAGTCTCAGGCGAGACCCCATTTGAAGACGTCCCCGCCTCCATCTGCGCAGCTGTTGCACAAGTCTGCTCACGTGGTAAACAAGTCAGCTGATCCGGCGAGGGCACCATTTTGCTAAAACGTGCCTGCCTCCGTCCATGTAGTTGCCAAAAGCTTGCAAGACGAATGCGCGTGGCGCTAACGACGGTTGGAGGAGGAGACGGGGACGAGAACGAGGAGTAGGATGATGATGATGATGATGATGATGATGATGATGATGATGATGATGATGATGTTGCTGCTGCTGCTGCTGATGATGATGATGACTGATGGTGAATGATGGTGATGATGATGATGATGATGGTGATGATAATGATAATGATGATGATGATGATGATGATGATGATGATGATGATGATGATGATGATGATAATAATGATGATGATGATGATGATGATGATGATGATGATGATGATGATGATGATGATGATGATGATGATGATGATGATGATGGTGGTGGTGGTGATGATGATGATTATGTTGATGTTGATGTTGATGTTGATGTTGATGTTGATGTTGATGTTGATGTTGGTGTTAATGATGGTGATGATGATGAGGAGGAGGAGGAAAGTGGAGGCGGAGGTGGAGGCGGAGGCGGAGGAGGAAGAGGAGGCGGACGAGGAGGAGCAGGAGGACATTGAAGCCGGAGGAGCAGGAGCAGGACGCAGACTCGGAGGATCAGGAGGATAGTGGGGGGAGGAGCAGGAGGAGGAGGAGGAGGAGGAGGAGGAGGAGGAGGAGGAGGAGGAGGAGGAGGAGGAGGGGGAGGG